CTCTTAGGGTCTGTTTGGTTCGTAGTTGGAACCAGAATTGCAATTGAATTCTTTTGGAATCAGAATCAAAATGGTCTATTCTCATAGTCTGGTTGGTTAAAAAAGAAATGAGAATAGGAATTGGAATCAGGAGGAATGACATTTCATTCCCAAGGGAGAGATAGGGAATGACCATTTCCTCAAATGGGGGAATGCTATTCCACCAAGAATGAGAATGAGATTCTGATTCCGCTCAATCAAACAGTTAGAATTAAAATAGCCCATTCTAATTCCGATTCCAGACCTCTATTCTCGCAAAGCAAATGGGACCTTAGTTCTTGTTCTCTGTTATGTTGTTTAGTTGATCAACTTTTCTTAAAAAAAAGGCAATAAAATAGAAAAAGAAAAGAAAAAGCCTTGGATGGAGTTTTCTATTTGTTACCACCTTAAAAAGTTAAATTTATACAATTCATGAATTTGTAGTTGGGGGTAGTGTTGGGAGAAAGGACACGAGGAAAGAGATTCGAGAGAGATTCATATCTACACCTCACAGAGCATATCGGCATATGGCACGGATACATCGCAACAGTACTTTGGGAACATAAGTTTAGTATGGAAAATGTTAGAACTGGAAATTCATGAACCGAACGGTTCAGCATATGCAAAATCACAATTCAGTCGTTAAAATTAGGGTACCAAATCAATCAGCAAATGTCGCGTAGTCATTGTCCCCCGTGAATACAAATGGCCACAACAACGACACAAGCGCCCGTGGATTTGGGGGCAGCTGGTTCTCCGTTTATTTGGTCCAATAGGCGAGGTGCAGGACATTTGGTAAGAGAATGAATAGATAAAATGATGGCCTCAATTCAGTGGCATTAAAAGCACCCAGAAGCATTTGTTTTCAATGAAATTACGCATGGCTCAGACCACAGGCCTATCATTCTGCACACCTCACCTAAGATGTGGCAAGGTTATCGTCCTTTCCATTTCCAAGTTCCAACCCAGGGGCCCACAAGGCCTCTGGACCTAATGGCTATTCCACTATTTTCTTCCAACACTACTAGGCGATTATTGGTAAAAAGGAAAAGAAGATTTCAAAATCAACTAATTTTACAAGCATCACTCTAATTCCCAAATGTCCCTGCCCAGAGGATATGTCTCAATACAGGCTTATAAGCATCACAAATGTGACTTATCGGGTGTTTGCCAAATGCGTTGTGAATAGGTTGTGAGATTGTCTTCTTCAGACTATTAAATATTGATCCAAGCTAAGTGCACATTTGTTAAAGAAGATTATTGGGGCCCAAAAGGCCCCTGGACCTGATGGCTACCCCACTATTTTCTTCCAATACTACTGGACGATTATTGGTGAAAAGGAAAAGAAGATTCCAAAATCAGTTAATTTTATAAGCATCACTCTAATTCCCAAAATCAGTTCGGATACTGAATTGTTACATTTTAAAGTTTAGAGACTAAAATAAAAGGATATTAATAGGAAATTTTCCCAAAAAAAAAAACTGTGATATGTCTTGTAATGAAGACTAGGCTAGCAAATCTCATTTATGTCAAAAGGACCAGAAACGACACAATGTGGAAGGTTTGTGGTATGAGAGTGAACAGTAAATAAAAACAAATCCAAAGGCTTTGTATCTGCTCAACAAATCCAAGAGGACAAGATCTCGTTTGGAAGACCATGATTTCACGCTAGTGTGCATTGTACCAAAACATGATGGGTTCCCTGTACAGATAGATTGTTATAGTGGGTCTGCTGGTGGCATTCCAAAGTCCAAACAAGCCATTACCGGTCAAACACACGGCGGTGTTGTCTTTCAATGTATTTTCTTCGTCTAAAACAGGGCATGTGCCGAAATCACTCTCCTTATATTTTATTACATCTCTTTTTTTTTTTTCATTTCAACAGATATTAGTGTTTTCTGAATATATTTTAAACAAAACATTGTAAAGAAGCTTAGTGCTAATAAATCTTAAATTCAATACATTAAAATTCATGGAAATTATTTTTTATAGAAATGGAAATTGATTTTAATACTAATAGTTCATTAAGCCAACTGATTTAGGTGTACTGATTTCCTTACGACCAAACAAATCAATAAACCATGAGGGTGGGTGGAGACCAAAGAGAGACATAGCAAGATGCATACGAGGCCCATTAGCCATGTGTACTTGTTGAAGTGTTGAATGACCCACTAGTTAAAGATGATTGTATAACATCCCTCCATTTAGGAGGCATGAGAGCAAACCTGTACACCCCACAAGCTTTTTGAGGTATGGCCAGTGGGACTCACGTGTACCCTACTAATTGCTATTATCCAATTTTATTTTTTCTATACAAAAAATTAAAAAAAAAAGACTCTCTCTCTCTCTCTTTCTCTCCTTTAATCTCTTTATAACGAGTAACATGTAATTTAAAAAAAGATCATTTTACGTCTTACAGTTTTATGTATTTACTAAAACCTACCCTTTAATTTGTTTATTATTAAAATACCCTCACAATATGCAACTTGTTTATTTAAAAGGACTTTCCATTGAAGCCAGTCATATCCAAGGAAATGATAAAAATTCTAAGAACAAACAAAGCAGAAAAAAACAACATAACACAAGTACACAACCCACAAGAAATAAGGAAAACAACTAAAACTGATATTTTGAGATCAGATGAATAAACAGTTCATCTGGGAGAAAGTTGACACCACTTGGATGGGACAAAATTTCTCTTTTAATAATGGATTTTTATAACTAAAACGATTATTATCTTATTTACCTGAAAAATAAAAGAACATAAATAAATACATTTATCTGGATAAATAACTTACTGAAAAGATGATCGAGGCCTAAAATTAAAAGTTCTTTGAACCCATGCATCAATCTAACTAGCTATAAGGTCAATAAGTAAACTGGTTGAAAACTATAGAGTTTCTCTAAGGAAACTTGTAAATTATATAGACAATTAGACATGCCTCCTCCTTTTTGGAATGGACCAGCAAATGATCTCTCTCTTCCTCTAAGCACCAAAGTCTGGTAATACACTTATTTGGACTTTGGGAGAGACAAGTTGTCAATCTTATTGGGCCCTTTCCATTGTGCATGAGCTTTTCATTAACTTTCGGTTCATTGAAGTGATAGAAATTATGTTGGCATGTGATGTCACATGTCTTGTTTGATTTTGTAAATTTAACTTTTAGAGGTTGGTTGGGTTTGTTTAATTGGGCACTTCTTCAATAGAATTAATAAGTGCCACTTTCTACCTTCTTCTATCAGCCTCTCAACGAACAACGATCTATTAGTGGAAAATCATATTCTCAAGTTTCAAATCATTTTATTATTAATAATGGTACGGTGGAAATTATATGATATATTTATTATTTATGTTTGTATTTGTACAATTAATTTTTTAAAGAATATATGTGTTCATCTTTTATGTAGGGATACTTGGCAGGCCTTAGGTCACACAAGTGGCATCAATCAAATTAAATCCTGACCACACATCACCAATTGCTTCCAATCACTCCCATGTTAAGGGTAGATATAAAAGGGGGCACTCACTTTAAGGTAAGGATCCACACGACTATTTTTGGCCATTAAGGACTAAGCTCTGAGCTATTGTCTCTTGCCTGGTCTGGTCTGACCCCTCTTTGAGTATTCGGTTAATTTGACCGTCGAAGTCTGGGATAGGACCTGAAACCTCTGATGTATACTCTTCTCTTATTCATAGATTGAACCAATCAATCGTAAATATTAATAAAATTACCTTGTTGCCTTTGGCCCCATATCTGGCAGCAACAATTCTATTGTAGATATTACAATGAAGATGATTCAATAATCAAAATGGTCACATACATCAAAGCAAATAAATAAGATAGTAACCGCAAATTTGTGATTTCAAAACAAAAAAAATAGATCATTACCTAATGTTGGTCGCTAGGTCTTCAAGACGGTTTAGATTGGACATGGTCTTAATGGGAAAATATATTTTATTGGAAATCTAGGCTGATGGAAAGATGTGATATGGGAAAGGGTTTTACCTATATCAAATTCTCCCACTTGAATTTTGATTTTGATAATACATCTGTGTGAAACACAAGCTGCATGAAAAACTCGTATATTCACTCATGATAGATTTCTCAGCTCGCTGCTGCGCATGATTTTGTCTCAATGCATCGGATTCATGCTCTAAATTTGACTAATTTTATATTTTATATATTTTTATCAAATAAACAAAATTAACATTTCATATATTTAGAAATATTTATCATAGCACTGGTTTTGGTATAAATCAATAAAGTTGAACTTGATTATATAATGTTAAAAATAAAATGGATTTTTTTTTTCAATAAATGCATTTGAAAATGATAGATATCAAGCTAACCCACTAAAAAACAAATTCAGATTCAGTCTGTGTACACACCATGTTCACAGCCTTTTGCAGCCATACGCCCGAAATAAAACATGTTTCAACTCTTCTACCAACATCATCTCACATTGGTGACGGGATCTGCTCCTCACATCGCACATCCTTACTAGAGACTGGGACCCACCATGTGGGGTGTGAAATGATGTTGATGATGCGTTGGAAGTAGGAAAGTGTTTTGTTGGTAGATGATCCGGTGTAAAAATACAAGGGATATAAGTGTAATGAGGACGGTGTGAGAACAAGGGATACAAGGGATATAAGTGTTTTGTGAGTATTGAATCCGGTCTCCTGAAAAACAGGTGAGTGGCCGTATGTCTTCTAATTTTGCTCTCAGTAAAAAACAGGGGAGTGGTTCAACAGTTCAACTGACGAATCCTGGTCAAGTCTTGGGAGTTCGGTGGAGTGTAGATATCGAGCTAGCCCGCTGGAAAGGGACAAAACAGACACGCCCTCCATGGTCCAGAGTTTTAAGTTTTAAGTCCGAAACATGCAACGTTTATTGTTGGAGAGTGACGCTGTTGCTGTTGCTGTTGATGAGGGCCCTGTGCCCCTGTCTTTTTGTCTGAAAAGGTTTGCAACAGCCCATGCACACCCTTTTTAATTTCCCTTCGTACGGTCTACAGACAAAGCACCAATGGGCATTGGGCAATGGCTAATACCTTCACCACTACCTGACACCATTAATGGCTGCTTCTGATCCCTGCACAAGAGGAAGTCCGCGACGACCAGCGAATAAGCACCGTCAGCCACAGCGGCCAAGTGGGAGATTTCGTTTCCAAGTCTGTATTAGTATTAGTATTACTACTTCGACGTGTTCAACACTCAGAAACCAAGGAATTCGAATTTAGATTTCAATGGGAGGAGAGCTTATGAAGGAAGGAAGGTCGTTGCCCGAAACTCCGACATGGGCGGTCGCAACTGTCGTTACCCTCATTGTTACTGTTGGGTTTATGGTTCAACGCTCTTTGAAGAGAATCGGAAAGGTAGAACACATTCATGTTTCTTGTTTATTTTCCATCGATTTCTGGAGCTGTCTGTTTGCTTATTAAGTTTTCTTGTTAACAGTGGTTGATTAGGACCAAGAGGAAAGCTCTTCTTGCTGCTCTAGAGAAGATCAAGGAAGGTAACGCCAATGAGTTCTGGAGATGTTTGTGACATCTATTGGTAATCTCAACTACTGTTGTTTGTTTTTCTTCAAACAGAGCTAATGCTTTTTGGGCTTCTATCGTTGCTGATGGGTCACTGGACTATATGGGTAGCAAAGATTTGTGTCAAACACACGGCCGCGAGCCGTCGGTTCTATCCATGTACAGAAGAGAGTTACTATGGGAGAACAACCCATTCGAAATACATGCTCATTGCAACCGTCCACTCCTCCAACCAATCGGTTTCTCAAGGGCTAACCCGGGTGCATGATTATTGCCCTGAGGTATGCCTTTTCTTTTCCCAAACTCAGTTGGGTTGAATAGTAGATGGTTCTAGTTAAGAGTGGTTCTGATTTAATCAGCCTTTTCATTCTAACGCGAAACTCTCTTTATGCTACTTATCTTTTCCACTCTTTCCTATTTAACATTGAAGTTGGTTAATCTGAGGACTCAAGGAACAAGGGGTTCACTCTAGGTACTAAAAAATCTCATTCCTCTGATTTAATAATATACTCTCCAAGACCCCGCGACCTGGTTCTGTTTCTTATCCGTCTAATTACAACCTGAGCCCCTTTTTATCGTAAACCTGAGGATCCCCTTCACTTCAGTGGTCATCCTTCGGTATCCCAGGAATACTGATAAAGGACATGCATTAATTATAGAAGTTTGGCTCCTTCTTCCTGCTGAATTCTGAGGACCAGCCAATCTTGCATTATGCTAGAATGATCGATCACCTTGTTACTCTTCCTCAATACTCCTCCAGTTCTTGAAGGCTCTGCATTACTTAGGGAACAACTATGATTTTTTTTCGTTTGGTGATGCTGTTTATTGTTGCAATCTGTGCTCGAGGGAGAGCAACAGATGCGTTTTTTTCACCTGAAAAGATAGACTCCCGTCAACATGGCACTCTGGAACTCTTAAAATTTATAAAGTTGGGGTCTGAATCCAGTCCAACATTAGGTAATAGGTTTTCTTTATTAGATTAATAATATTCATTGATATTTAATCATGATTTAAGATGATCCCCAGAGACGATATTGGCATAATTAAGTATATGGGAAACAGCTAATGGCTCTATTTCCCAAAGGCATCCCATGTAATATGCTTATGTCATGCTTCTATGTTTGTGTCATTTCTCAATACATGTCTTTCCATGATTGATTAACTTGCTTACATATATCTTCAAAACACACCATTTTGATTATTTTCAGTGTGTTAATACTGTTGAATTATGTAGAAGTGTTGATGCAGTATCCAATGTTGTATCGACTATCGGGGTACTTTATTGTGTCTGATACTGGTTCACTTGGTATGTACAGATATCTGGGTATCATAGATCATGATACAAGTATTCTGTCTGACATCAATATAGATTGATATATAATCATGATCACACAATGAGGAAAATAAACGATCAACAAATAATTAGCTAAGAATATCAAATTTGAACCCCTCAAGATATAGTTGCAATTTTGAAAATTGAACGGGCATGCCAAATAGAATAGCTAGCTAAAGCAGAAGTTTTCTTGTAGGCTATTGGCCCTAGTTACCTAGTTGACCTAGTATTCCTTTCTACTAGATCCAAGCCTTTTACATATTTTTTCCCATGCAGTTCTACTAAAAAGCACCAGTTAAATCCTAAAGAAAGAAATATTCATTTTACCTTTTCCTTTGAACTCCCTCATTGTCTATCCATCAATTACAAGTGTGAATATATGTGCAAATTATTATTAAATCTGAGGAAGATGAAAGAGGTTTCCTTCTGAAAACTCTTACACTTGTTAGGTTTTTTCATCACCTGCTGCTTATTGTTCAGGGCCATGAACCTTTCGCTTCGTTTGAAAGTCTTGAACAGCTTCATCGTTTTTTATTCGTTCTTGGCGTAACTCATGTTTCTTACAGCTTTATCACTGTTGCATTGGCTATGCTTAAGGTCAGCTTTATCCATTGAAACTACTGTAAAAGCTTACATTTTTTAATTTATTTCTATGATTTTAGAGCTCATTCTTTAACAAGAGTACTGTAATTATTTCATGTAGATCTATAGCTGGAGGAAATGGGAAAACCAGGCAAAGCTAATGGCGATTCAGGGTTTACAAGGTCAACTTTTTTTTTTCCTTCTTGGGTGAACTCTTGGTGATATATTGGTTCTGCATTTGCTTGAAATGATACCCTTGTTTGCTTTTATATCCCCTAATTTTACTCCTAGTGGAGGGTGGCAACCCTTAGAGCTTATTTCCTTTGCCACTTTTGCAACATACCACATCATCCTTGTTCAAGAAAATACCCTTAGAGGAAGCCATATGTATTTTATAATTCTTATGCCTTTTTGTTCTATTTTTTTTTTAATTTATTTCTCATGTATATGTTATTTATTGACACTAATGATTTTCCATGAGATGCTTTAAATTTACTGCTCCACTTATAATATGCTTTACCTTGTTTTCTTAAATTCCTATAGGTTCTTCAGAGGCTACTGTAAAGAATGTGGGAATTAGCAGGCTATCTACTTTCATTTTCCATCAGACTTCCCATCCATGGAGCCAGCACAAAATTCTTGTGTGGATGGTAAGGCCATGTGCTCAAGGGTCAAATTTATTGGTTTCAATGTCTCGTGTAGCGGTTTTGTCTTAATTCTCCTCCAAGAATGATTGTACTGAAGTTTTGATTGTTAAACACACAAAATCAATGCAGAAACTTGGCTAAAGTTGGTCAAGTCCCTTCAGGGCTTGGCTGGATTGAGTGAATAAAAAAATGCAATGGAGCAATTGCCATTACCTCTTAACAACAAAAACTGCAGGGCCTGAAGACATGGTCTGTGACAATATACAGAGATACTAAATTTTAGAGAAGAAGGGGAAGATATAAACCATTAAGAGGATTAAGTGAAAGAAGAAATTATGTAAATCAGTATCTATATTTTCTTGAGTATTTTAGAAAATGGCAATGATTTTTTGATTGGCTATAGAATGGCAATGATTATATTGGTGGTTTATGCCTAGCAGCTCATTGAGTGCAAAACTGTCTTTTGGTTTTCTGTCATTGCATATACATTGCAAGATGCACTATCGTATAATCCTCATGCTCATTTTTAGGGACTTTTGCTGCATTCTTCATTGGTCTTCAGTTTATTACAAACATCTGAATCTCCATAATGTCTTACTGTTACCTTTAAGTAATTGGAAAATAAATCTCATGATAACACATGCTTTTCTTCACACTGTTAGAAATACCTGTTGGTCTCAAACTTTTAGGTTACAGGTGTGAAGACTTTTAGAACTAGGCCTTTGCAAGAAATGATATGTTTACCACCAGTAGGCATTTGACAGTTTTTTATCCATTCTTATTTATTATTCGATTGGTTCATCTAGGAGATCTATGCCAATATTGAACATAACTTATGTTCATGTTCTCTTTTCATTTCTTTTTAGTACCACCCAGAGAGGGCATTTCATTGGATGGTTATTATCATGTGATTGTGCTTCTTTCCTAACTAGATATCTTTTAATCTTTCGTGTTCATAATCATATATTCTTTAAAATTTTATTTATGGACATTATTATTAGTCTACAATACTTAGATTTAGCCTTCCAAAAAATTAATATCAGTAAATGATGCTTACACAGTTATACCTTCTCATTGGATTATTAGTTTACTATTTGCTTTTGTTCCATATTTGCATTTTTTAAATTCTTTCTGCATCTAGATTATATCATAAAGAGATTAATATTAAGTGGTCACCACAATTACAGCTTCTCCATGTTATTTTATATAGCCAAGTTCCATATTACCTGCTAAATTCAACCTCTAAGTTAGATTTTTTTAACTATAAAAGCTTAATGGTCCTTTTAGCATTATGCATCATATTGTGGGTAATAGAGTGATACAAAATTTTTCCCTTCTGCAGCTTTGTTTCAGCCGTCAATTTTGGAGTTCTATAAACAGAGCTGACTATATGGCACTGCGATTGGGCTTCATTACTGTGAGTTCTTTCTTTAGCATACCCAAGTGGATGATTTTCCAACCTAGGTCATATAATTGCAGAAAAATACGCTGTTTCTTAAACCAGTAGGATGTACATGGTATAAATAAACTCCAGTCTCCAACATGTTTTTATTTATGTTAAAAAAGTTACTATTTCCTTTTCCTTATCAGATTAAGCAATAATCCAACTCCAACTCATGCTAAAGTTCAGATAGTCAACATTAGTCCTTTGGGTCTGGCACCTCTATTCAGTAGATCCACCCAACAAGGACACCCTACATCTCAAATCAGCATATAATCATCTGTCATTAATTTGGATGAATGTATTCTCTTTGGCTGCAAAATCATAATAATTTTAAGCTTTAAACCTGATGTTTGCAATGTTCAGTTGCACCCACATCACACTATTGTTGAATAAACAATTCAACATATCTTATGCGTTGGCAATAATTCCTTTCCAATCATTTTGATTGTTATGGCCCTGTTTTGGGAAAATGGATAGCACCAACATATCCACAGTAAAGTACTGTGATACCTGATAACCATGCCTTTTCATATTAATTATGAGAACAGAAAGGTGCTGAATCCTCCACACAGGATGTTATTAGTAAACCCAAAGATTGATCCAGGCATCCAGCACTGAAGGTGCTCATAGAGCTAGAAGGCCCAGAACACTCATTTCCTAAATCTTACAATAAGACTCCAAATGTTAGTTAACTTGACAGGGTCAAGCTCTTTAAATACAAGGGAACTAATTTAGTGTACTCAGTAGGCCTATTAGCAGCCCACAAGTCCAACCCACTTATCTCATCAGCAAGACTGATCCCAGATGACTTTTTGAGAGAAATATTGGAATTTTTTTGTCATTTTTTATAAGTTTTTTTTTTCTGTCATTAACATTAGCAGCAACGAATGACGACCACCAGACTATTGTAGGAATTTTTCTTCTTTCTCCTTGCCATAGAGTTTCCTTTTGAGGTTTTACAGAGAGAAATTTTGCATCTAGTGGGTTTCCTTTCCAGAAAGGATTCCTCTCCCATCTTAAAAATGTAATTATTTTTTGCAAAAATATTGAATGAAAAACAAGCTTCTGCAAAGTTCCCGAATTTTGTGCTGGCTGATTCCTCCTTATGGTGGGGTGGAATCGGTGGATACATTTTCCTTCAAATAGTATTTCTTTCCATGATCAACACCATTTCTTCTTTAACCTTAGGTTAACACATACACAATTATGATGCCTAGATACAGATGTGGACATGGACATAGGAAATGGACATCATCCAAACCTTATCCCAACTCCCAACAGCTACAAGAATCCTGTTTCACCATTCCATTCTGTTTAATCCCCATATCCACTATTAAATTATCGGTGCTTAAATCATTTCTTATTACTTATACCCATGTCCTTTTTGGTCTACCCCTAGCCCTTCTATCCCCTTCAACTTGCAACAAATCACTTCTTACTGATGCTGTTGATGGTCTTCTATACATGTGACCAAGCTATCTTAGTCTAGTCTACTTTTTCTCATATTATCACCCATTGGAGCTACTCCTAGGCTCCTTTTGATGACTTCATTTCTGATCCTATCTTTTCTGGATTTTCCACTCATTGGAAATGGACATATGACTCTCCATTTCCTAAAAACCTGGACATTGATGTTGATATCAGTATGATGTGTTATATGCTTATATCATGCATTTACATCTAGTTTTTAAAGCTAAATGTTATTTTTCTAGATGTCATGTCAAAGTTAATTATGTTTCTAATATGCGTAGATCTTTTTTTAATATAATCTGTTTATTTTACATATTTTGAAAGCGTTAATGTTGTAAAGTACATATAGAAGTATCCATGCAATATCCAGTATCATATCCAACACCTGCACTAGGCATGTACAGGTATCTATGTGTCATAGATATTTAAGCATACACCTGAATCAATCCTTTATTATTCAATATATAAATATTTTGTTCTATCTTGTTAATTTTGCTCATAACTTTATTATTTTAATTGTAGAATCATGAACTCCATTTGTCCTATGATTTCCATAATTATATGGTGCGCAGTATGGAGGATGAATTTTGTGATATTTTAGGAATCAGGTACAACTTTTCACTCTTTTAGAGGTTTTTCCTTTTTTTTAGTTTAACTATTAAGTTCAAGTAATACATTTACTGTTTTGTTCATTTAATAGTAATGATGTCAGTTAAGAGGTGTTTGCTTGTTAGTTCAAACATGTTTGTGATCCGTATGGTTTACACTGAGGTTGGTTCTATTTCTGATATTGGAAAATAAATGGATTTTGTCTCCCATGGAAAAAAAAAATAGAAAATTCATATGTAATTATTAAGACATTCTTTATAACCTTTTTGATGAACGATGTGTGTATTGTATTATATTGTATTATTAAAGAACAAGGAGGGGGACAAACCTCAGGAGATACAATTATCTTTACATGATTAATGAGATAAATCCATGTCCAATATTTCATATGAATAAATAAAGATGTTTCAATTGCTTGGTATATGAAAAACAGTTGCAACTTGCAAGTGACCACTGCAATTACAACTGGCAATTATTAAAGATCATCAAAACCCATATTAGTAATGATAACTCATGACCTTTCAACAACTGTACTTCATCATGACAAGTTTGAAATCTCTGCATTGCTTTTGTTCTCAGGTTGCAACATATAAGTTTTATCTTTTTTATTGTTATTAACTTGGATTGTTCTGAGCAAAGACATAGTGTGACAATTTCCTTTGGGTACTTTTGCAGTTTGCCTCTCTGGATTTATGCTATATTATGCATATTCATAGACTTCCATGGTAACTTTTTCTGCAAATCATGCATTCTTCATAAGATGATAATTGGAAGAATAGACTGGAAAACTGGACAAAGTTGCTTGCAAGACACTTTATTAAAATTATTAAATAGGTTCTGACATCAAAGAGCAAGCTTTAGTTGTGTTTATGCTATACTGATGTAAATATACTCCATTCAGTTGCTTATATCAGTGTGGTTTATGCATAATGAACTAATTGATCTACAGTGTCAGAACCAGAGATCAAATGAGTAAAACACCTATCAACCTATTTGGTTTTTTATTTAATAGATTGTTTTCCACCTTCATGTTAAGTTGTTTATTTTTTTTTTCTATTTTTGTCCTTGTGTTAAAATGCTCAAATCATTCATGGTGTGAATGCTCCTTCAGGAACTAATGCCTACTTTTGGCTTTCTTTTGCTCCAGCTATTGTAAGTTGTCATCCTTACTTTTTTTTAGCTTCTTCCTGCTCAAGTTTTCCAGTTGTTCTGTCCTACTGATTAATTTTCTTCTGTTCAATAAATATTAAAGCTGATTCTACTCATTGGTACAAAACTGCACCGTATAGTTGTTAAGTTGGCTGTTGAGATCATGGACACAAATCCAGTTATGGGAAATCAGTTTAACCTAAGAGATGAACTCTTCTGGTTTGGGAAACCCAAGCTTCTGTTATGGTTGATACAATTAATTTCTTTCCAGGTAAGTGGAGCAGTAATATGTAAAAATTGACATTTTATCTTGTTCCAACTCTTATGTCTTCATGGACATTTATTTGGCAGAATGCATTTGAGATGGCAACCTTTATTTGGTCTCTGGTAAGAACTCGTATGGCTACATTGAGCTATGCAACTATAAACTTCTACAATATAGACACAATTTAAATCTTCTTGTCACCTACCCAATGGAACAGCAGTGGACTTGAGGTGCTTGCAGGGATAGGCTCCACCCATGAGATCACTTGGGACAAACTTGACTGGGTGATTCAATTATTCAGTCTACCAATTTTTGGACTATCATGGGTTCCACCCATGTGATCACTTGGGACAGCTTGATATTTAATTTGATGATGAATGCTTGTCTAAAGAAGTTTGCATGGAAATCACCGTATCTTGATTTCTTTTTCAGTGGGAGATACAGGGACCCTCCTGTTTCATGGAGAATCTTGTGTTTCTTATCATCCGCCTGGTATCTGGGTATGTTTTTCAATATCCTATGATGCATTCTCCAAAATTCTCTCTCTTCTCCTACCAAAATCTTAAAAGGCTTTGATGTAACTTGTAAGTTCAACTTTTTCAACCATAATGATGATTCTTTTGGTAAAATAGCTGCACATAATTGTGGTTACTATATTAACAAGGAGCGTTATGCACTTCTCTCAAGGTTCAAAATTTCGGTACAATAAAATGGCATACTGTATCATATCAGCAGCTCCAAGATGCACCTGTTTTAAGGATTTTTCAGAAACTCTTTTTAAATTTTTAAATAACATTAAAATGACCCCCTGTGAAAATATGAGAGAAAAAAAAAAGGTTTTCCTTCTCCCAAAACACCTGATATGCATGTTTGTGCATATCAGGTGTTTCAATATTTTGAACCTTGGCTTCTCCTATTGATGTGCATTCCTGTAAATGTTGGTTCTTTTACTGGTCCGATTGTCTGAGGGAGATTTTTACTAGATTTGAGATCCTCGTGCTCATAGAGGGTCCTCTATTTTGTGGATTAATGTGGTCATTCAGTCTTAAGCTTGTGATGGAGATTCTTCTAGAGCTAAAATCCTCATGCTCATAGAGGTACCTCTCTTATGTGGATCAATGTGGCCATTCAGGGTCCCAACTCCTAAGCTTAAATACCATCCTTGGACTGGACAGGCTTGTCTTTAAGGGGACTCTAAGATAACTGATGAATACTCAGTGGTAAGCCCAACAGAATTGACCATCATCCCATTACATCAGAGAAGTTACTATCTTTGATTGACACTTTATTCATTTGGATGCAAAGAGCACCAATTCAATTCATTCATATTATCTCCTCTGGCTAACAAGTCCATAGGGAAGTTAGCAGACTTCCAGTCCATCTAAACTTGGTGTTCAAGTTGGATATCAAAGACTAGACCTTCCTAGCAAGGTCCAAACTCCAAAGTATTGATACTTTTGATATGCAAATTTTACATATCGAGAGTTTCTGTTGACCAAAGCTCTTTTTTTTTTTAGTTTTTTGTTTTATAATTCAACATGGATCCTGTCACATCATCTTTTAATGCTTCAAAAGAGTGAAATCACCTAACTCTCCACTAAAAACCAATATGATACGCCGCGTATTGGATGGATCTACTTTGAACCTTGCTTCTTAGTACTGTGAAGATTATTCTTTTGATCCTTTACAGTAGGGGTGATCATTTTTAGCCGAGCCCAAAAGTCCAGCCTGGTCCAGCACATAATATATAGATAAATGTACATATTCAGGTGTGTTATTTCATATTATACTGTATGTTATATAAGTATTATAATATGATACATACAATATTTTATACATATATTATATGCCATGTAATATAAAATATTTAATATAAATTGTCATCTAATATATAGCATGACACACACACATGTCATCTAAAATATATTTAAAAGTTATAGGCCCAGAAATCCAGCCTGGGCTTATATTTCAAGCCCAGAATCCATGTTGGTCCAGGCTATAGTCCTTATTATAGGTGCTAAGTCTGGCTCAGCCCCAACCCAGCCCAGTCCATGATTCACCTACTTTATAGCCATGGCTTTACCATATTATTCCCTTAATCAAGTTTTTTATTTACAATTAGAAAAAAAAATGGGAAGGAGCCACAAGTTGATATGTCCCGCACTAGGCATATCTTAGGGGATGTTCCACCTGTTGATGTGTTATAACCATCTTTTGAAGCCTTGGTTGTGTACCTTCCATAGCAACAACCTTTGATGCAACGAAGCCCCATCCCATGGGTCTGGCTACATGAATCTTGTCATCATAGTCTAGCCTACTCACCAATTGGGGCTACTCCTGGTGGCATCCCATTGGTTGATACTGGATCTGGGTGTCTCTTCCTCTATATCACTAGGAGTTCCAATAAAACTTTTGATACTTTATAGACTTTTGTATCATTTCATAAGTTTAAGACATCACACCTTAACAGACTGAAAAAATATAAAATTCTTGTTTTTCTCATCTTTAATGCTATAGATTGTATTTTTAGGCTTATTGCCTCTATTTATGATATTGCAGGGTCATTTTTCAGTTTTGGTGTAGTTACATCACATTTCCACTATATGTTATCATTGCACAGGTTTGACTGAACCCTTTATAACTTAATGTTAGCTACTCGTGGGCATGCCCCCGGCCCCCTAAAGAATATGTGGTTCTACTGATGCAGATGGGAACAAGATTTAAAAAGTCCATAGTTTCTGAAAATATCAGAAGATCACTTCATGGGTGGCGAAGGAGAGTGAAGTCCAGACTAAATAAGTTTCCCGGTGGCCTTACCACTGCAACATCAACCACCTCTTTGGATTCATTGGCGGATGAGAGAGCTGATAATGACGATTGCCCCCCAATTTGCGTAGCAGGGACTTCATCAAGATTTGAAGAAATATTAAGCTACCCTCAACCAGTGGTCATGGTGCAAGACCACCTTTCTGAACAAAACCCAAGTGACGGGGGTTCACCAGTTTCGCATTGTTCTGGCCCCACCTATGATATTTCTGATCATGATCATGATGATGACGGTGGTTGTGGTGGTGGTGGTGGTGATGATGAAATAGAATGCATCATGTCTTCCGCCACCTGAATCCTTTAGGTATATACAGAACTTTCATGTCAATAGTTTCTCACTAACTCAGTTCTGTTCAAATTTACACGCAGTATTTTTGTAACTTGACCCATTAACCAGGCCCTCCGCCCTCAGCGCTTGATGTAGACAGGAAATCAGTAGAAGAGGGGGTTTTTCTTTTCTTCTCTTGTTTGGATGTGGGGAGGGAGGTCGAGGAAGAAGAAATATAAGGTTCACTGATGATTTGGGTGTACCAGTTTGTATATTTTAATTGCTCGGCTCCTATTTTACCAGTTTGTATATAACCGAAGAATTTAACTGATAAATTTTGGTCTTAACGATGCGACAACAAAGGCTGTGTTTGGGAGTGATTCTCATTTTTAAACAAGCACTTTTGAATAAGTGGTTATTTAGATGATAAGTACATTTGAGAATTTGGTGTGACGTTTTATATGGGCCTTTTCTAAAATAGCTTCTCCAAAACGTAAGAAGCCAAAAGCCCAAAATTTTTTTTTGGAGTGCTTTAACTGCTTTTGATTCTAACAAGCAATAAGCCCAATAAGTGCTTATAAACACTCCCAAACACGGGCTAAGATGGCTTCTGGAGGATCTTGCACATATTTGCCATGCCATAACAAGCTCCATTTTAGGCCAAGAGCTCTCAGCCATGGAGTTTTGCACAGAGCACAGTCCTTCCGAGTTCCCACTTTGTCCCTCTCAAACAAATAAACAAAGAAGGATTTGAAGCAAAGGTAAGCGAAATTTGCACACCCGTGCATATACTCCAATGTAGATGAAATTTTTATTGCAATTGCAAATAAACAGAGCCTTCATAAATATTTAACCCAAAATAAAGTTAATGGATATTAACTAGTTCGCTAGTATCCCCAACATTAATTCATTTTTTGGTTCCCTTTCTAGATAAAAGGTTACAGTCTCTGCTATAACGAACCAGAGACCCTACCGACTGAGCCATATAAGTTGGTTTTTGTTGCAGTATCAAGGCAAAAATGTACTTCTTTCTTAATGTGGACAGAATATGCAAGTAGCAAATTAATCTTATATCACTAATAAGTAATAAATGCTCAATCATCAAGGGCCAGGCCCAAACTGGGCTAAGGATCTATCATGCACCTGCACCTTGGGCCAGATGTATAGGCCTAAGCCCGGTCCAGACCTGGACTCAAAACATAGGCCCAAGCCTGAAATTTTGTGAGTTGGGCTAAGAATATCACACTCCAACAAATGCTAACCCTACTCTTTTGAGTAGAATTAGAGATCTACTCCCAGGGTTGCATGGTGGTGTCACCAAAACACCCCATGTGGAAAAGCATAATCATCCTTGACATGAACATGTGTGAAAGGAATAGTTAAAGTATATATTTAACTTTGGGATTGTATGTGAGTTATTAGCATTGCTCTTAATTTAGAAGCTCCAATGATCAAATGCCTAGTATTTGATGTCATTGTCATTTTTCTTAGCTATATATGCCTTCTATTGGTCATGTTGCACCACTTAAATTTCGATAGTCTCCCTTATAGTAGAAATGAGACATTGTGTATAAAGTTTGGCCACTATTAGAAGTAAAACTGTATATTGCCACTAATTGATGGGCAAGCTTCAAATTTTTCAGATTGGGACAAGGAACTAAGGCTGTTTTTGGTTTGAAGGAAAAAGTAGGGAAAGGTAGGAAACCTTTACAAATCTTGTATAGGCTCCCCTGTCTTTCCCTTCCTTTCCTTACCTTTTCCTTCAAACCAAACATAGCCGAAAGAAAAACATTTTAGAAAATAATATCTAATGTGGTTTCTTCTATTACTTTAATGAATTACAAAGTAAAAGATGGATTCAGTGGAATCTGCAATGAGTATAAGGTGAAAAATACTCCCTCATGAAATTGGTGTTTCAAAATAGAACATTTATACTTTTACATCATGACTGAGCTTTCAATACTTCATCCCTCACCAACACCAAGAGATTTGCCAGATAAAAGAGGTTCCTGCAGATCAATTTTGCAGCTCACGGTGGATTCATTCCTTGATCTTTCATCTGCTTTCATATCTGTTAAATCTCTGGCTTAGCTTTGCCCCCTAGTACAGCATATAAACCACTAATAACAACTACAGCACATGCCAAACTGATTAAATATATAAAATAGTACATCAGAGTAATATTACCAATTTCCAAAAAAAAAAAAAGGAAGACAAACACAGAACAGCTAAATCATATGGAGCATTGGGATTTAAGATAATACCTGCCAATAAAAAAGATCCTCATGAAGAAATAAAAAGGCCAAAATGGTGATAATCACAGTGGATGGAGGGGGGTGAAGATTGCCACAAATAGCGGTCCTCGTTTTGAGATGCACCAAAATAGGAGAAAAAATGATAATCCAGATCCCACTGTATTTTTCCCATTGTCTACCATTAAAACTGGAGATATTATGATAACTGATGATGCGCGATCTGGCCGATCTTAGCTGTTGATGACCTTGCCTCTGAAATGGGTAACAGGGACCTGAAACGGGAGGAGAAGAGAAGCTCCGGGGAAAACCCGGCGTAAGGGCTCCGAAGCTCAAGTTAGAATCCTTCAAAGGCAAGAATAACCAGATAGCGCGGAAGTTAGCATACCTCGTCCCTGGGGGGTAGAAGCCTTTTATAACCACCTCGCGCACTCACTTCCAGGCCTCCGTCA